GCCCAGAGGACTGCCGATGCCGCGTGGTAGTGGTTTTCTGCAAGTCCGGCGTTCCAGCTCGCAATTAGACCCCACGCCATCCAAAATTTAGACATCTTACATTTTCCCTCTACACGACAAGCTATAACGCCTTTATAGGCGAAGTGCGCCAAAATCATGTCAGCAAAAAGCACTAACCGTTACAACGCGACATAACCAGCTACTTGCATAAGGTCCCATCTCCGCACCACCTCACCACCAACCCCTGCTCAGCACCACCCACGATCAGCCCTGGCTCAGCACCACCCCGGTTCAGCACCCCTTCAGCACCCACCCCGGCTTAGCACCACTTCAGCACCAGCCTGGCTCCTGAGCCCCAAATAAATGCCGGCGACAATCACGGAAATTCTCAGTACCCCTTCCACTGCCCCGCGTCCGAGGCAAGCTTCCGACACCATGGTCCCGATTGGCCCGGATCAGGGTTGCAATGAGGGACGTAAAAGCCGAGTGGTTGGCGCGTCGGAGCCCCACGTGGGGCCCGGGTTCAAATCCTGGTTATGCCATGACCCCTCGGCGCTATTACGACTAACACAGAGCTGGCGCTTGAAAAGAACGCAACGACGCGCGTCGCGTTCCCCATTAAAAAAGAGAACAAGGCGTAACCATGACAAAGCAAGGCTCGTGCGTCCAGTTGGGCGGCACGACTACAAGTACGGCGCTGAGCATCGGCACCACCCGAGGGACCCGCCCTGTCCATGCAATTCAGCCTCCTCACACATGGAAAGGCCGCGACAGACACAGGCATCGACCTCCAATATGGATGAGTCATGTCCTACTGCGGTCATGCGTAGCGCGGCAAAACAATCCTGGATGCCGGTCAATTGCTATTGCGCGTTTATGGCAAGTGCTATCTGCCTCGACTCGCTGACACAGAATCTTCTAAATGAAGGCACGGCATGCGAGAGAAGAACGTGATGCAAGTAGATGAGACAAAGTGCAACCAAATTCAAACAACATCCTGGCTGCAAGCAACGACTTACAAACAAAAGTTCGCTAACTTATGAATAGAAGATCAAACACTTGGTTCAAAGCTTCTGAGAAGCGCTGAGATTATTGCCGGCGACTGGACGAATAACATTCCCCAAAGGAAGGAATATGAGCACGGCCCATAAGTTCAAAACGTGTTCAGAATGGCGAGATGTTGAGGCCAGTGACAACTTCTGCAAAGACCAAGACGCTTTCTTCTATCGATGGCTGGTGTCTATGCCAAGTATATGCGCAGGCATATTCTACTCACTAAAAGTGGTCAATAAACAATACACGTGGGCATGTTCCACGAACCGCGAAACGGTAGTGCAAATGTCAGCTAGGACTGACGCACAAATAGCTGAAACTGACCTATAAACATTGAGCAAATACAGGCCCACCTATATAAGCCACAGACCCGGCGATGCATTGCGATGTCAGTAAAATTATCGCCTTCGAGTGCAGCCGTGTCCACATTTTCAGCAAAGGTCCGGTCATTTGTTTGTGGTGCCGGTGGCAACGCAGCTGGTTTGCACGCATCTCTCAACAAGGACCGGTCCAACTGCTCCGTGGGTGATGCAACTCGCAATACTTAAAGGGAATGTTCCACATTTCAAGATATTGAACCAAGCATCCACGCTTGATGAGATAAGCCCACTTTTAACAATTGGTGGGCTTTCAAGTGGAAAAGACTGCTCTAGGCAACCAAATTTTTCTGTTTAGTAAATATGCTCCTCCATACGTCACTCCCTGATTAAGCCATCGTATCCTGCACGACATTGATTGAGAGCAAATGGATGGCCGTTGCACCTGGAAATCGTGCTCACGAACGTCGGACATGAGCGACTCGACGATTATATTTTTCGGCCTTGATCGCCACATGGCTTATAGAATGGCAGATTTGAATGACGACGTTATGACGTCATGCATGCGAAGGTGACTTTGAAATACTCTCAGAAATACCCCTCATTTTCGCGGGCATGCAGCTCAGAAACTAGAGAAGTTTGGGCCTTAATAAGGGTAGGGCCATGAACTTCACCGAAAGGTCTTCAAGATGGCCATTTCCGTTCAAAACCTCGTTCAAATGTGCAGCACTCCCTTTAACTAATAAAACACAAGCTGCTGGAGAACTGTGGCGATATAGTACTTCTTATATGAAGGTCAAGCGCACGAGGAAATCACGTCGTCACACAATGTATCTCGAAACATCTCGCTCATGCACCCAGATACGATACGATCCATGTTTTCATACAAAAATGATGAATGCAGGTAAGCTTCAACATGCAAAAACAAGAACCGTCCTCTGCAATGCTGAGGCCGAGACGACCACCGGCTCATAAGGCGGCCAGACGCAGGGGCGGGGAGGGGGATGCGTGACGTCACGACGGGCCTACCTTGTGACGCCGGGTCGTCCCGCAGCCGCTGCGATGGCCCAGCCGCCACGCGGCCACTGGAACAGAGGGCAGCACCGGTCAGGCCGGCCGGCAGGCGCACGCGCGGGCGACGGCGGGGTCAAGGTCGCGCGGCTCACAGGGTTACGAGGAAAGCTGAGACCTTTAAACGTCTGTATCCCTTCCCGATTTCTTTGAGTTTCAATCGCTGCACAAGAGAAGCCAGCACTTTTCTTTCCAAAATCTTGCCAGGTAGCCACCACAATTTGTTTCACGAAACATGTTGACAACGTAGGTGTGTTGCCAGCTAATTATAGCATTCGCAGCATCTGATAGCAACCGGTTGTAATATGCCAGCTGTCGGACGTAGCCTCGGTAACATGTCAACTGTGAATCCTGTTTGACTTAACAAGTGGGTGTCAGGGAGGTCTCATATGCTGTGTGTTGAGAACTGCAAAAGGAAAACGTGGCCATGTTAAAAAGTTGGTGCTGATAAACGCACTCACGAATAGGCCATGTTGCTGATCGATCGATTGGTCATATTGCTGTTGGCTGCCGCAATCCGTCATGTTGCCAATTCACCAATGCCACCAGCCGTCCATAACTCACAGCCACCCCACCACACCAGCTGTTCATAACTCACAGGCCGCTGTGGGATCGGCGCCGAGCCGGCCGCCGTCGTGGCCGCCTATGGAGAGGTCCTGCTCGCCGAAGCTTCCCTCATACTCGGCCACGTAGCCCAGCGTGGTGTCCAGGCTGACGTCACCGTCTTCTGCTAGATCTTCCTTCTCCACCTGACGAGCAAGGAAGTGGGGTTCGCTGAGGAGGCAGCCTCAGCGAAAATCGAACGGCCGTATGACACTGCGGACTGTGGTGGGCAGATGGCTGTCGATCGGGTCGCGCAAAATTTCCCTTGATAAGTGTAAAACTATTTGCATGGCTACTTCAGAAACTAATGGTGCATAGGTGCAATGGTACACGACAACATTGTTGAATGAAAGACAAATTAAGGTTGTAACAGTGAAACCACAATAGCCGTCGACACGTCAAACATAGTAAAAACAACACTCAGTAACTCAGTAAAAGCTCCAACTGAGCCAGAAAGCCTTAACAATGACCCGTACCCGCCACGCTGACCAAGACGGGCCAACTCTCGAAACAAACGCCGCGCCCATTCCAAAAACATTGCTACTCATTAGCTGCACATAACGCACACCCTCCCCATTCTCTCGTTACTGCAGCCCTGGCCGTCGAACCAGCCCGCGCACGCGGTCCCCGTCATCCACCTCCCCCACCACAGCCTCTCCCGCCGGCCACGTACTTAAAGCCATCGCCAACCGGCGCCGGCCCTGCCGCCGGCGGCTGTCCCCTCGGCGGTGGCGGCGGCGGCCGTCGGACCGGGCGACACCTCGGGGCGTTGCCGTCGGCGACAGATCGGAGCCCAGCTCCACGGGGCTGGCGGGCCGTCGGCCGACCGGCGAGCCCGGAGAGCCGGAGCGGCGCGTCCGTTTGGCCGGCGGGCTGCCGGCCGGCGCCGCGCCGCGACGCCCCGCCGTCGACGGCGTTGACGGTGGCGACGACTGACGGTGGGCAGGGTCAACGGAGGTCACGGGACGATCGGAGAGTGCCAGCTGCCTCATCGCCAACACCTTCGCTTAATTTGGTTAATTACACGGCAGCGGTTCTCGTCATTCGCCATTAATACCAAAGACGTCACAAACTACTGCGCTGCAAAAGATATTTCACCAGACAGCATATAGTGTGGCAGTGAGTCCAGATGGTGCAGCAGCATCCACGTGAAGTAGCTAAACGTGATGTCACCTCTTCGCATCTTGGGCCGTTACTTTGTCAATCAAGAACTGACCTAAGGTAATGGCTGACCTTCAAATCTCACAGGTTAAAACAGGCCGACACAAGTCAGTACAGGTCACAACAGGTCAGCACAAGTCACAATGGGCTAGCACAAGACAGAAGGTTAGCACAGACCATAACAGGTCAGTGCAGATCCTAACACGTCACAACAGGTCAGCGCCGGGCACAGCAGGTCAGTACAGGTCACAACAGGTCAACACAGGTGGCCAGATAATGGTGAGACAAATACCCCGTGGCTTTCACACAGACCGTGCATGTTTACCCGTTGTGAAAAGCAATCACATGCGCTGATACCTCACCGCCAACGACTAGCCATTGCCGCGTGTTACCTGACAGACGCCGGCACTGTTTGCCAAACTTGCAGGACAAGGCTGCACAGGACTCAATAATGGTAACCGGACTTGGGCGAACAGCAAGCCCATGACCAATAGGAAGTCTGCTTCATCACTCCAGCGCAATATCACGCGCGCCAGTAGCCTGAGCTACGACCCTGATTACAACGCACAACGCATCCCAACCTCCACCACCAAATGTTTCAGCTGCATTACAGAACAGACACAATCGCGAACTGAAATGGACAAGCGGCGCTTTCATTGCCAAGCAGCCGCCACTGCGCAGCCTCCAGGCACGGCTACCGAGGCGGGCCGAAGTCCTTTCTTCTGACAGACTTTAAACGGCCACAGGCAGAAGCATTCCGTAGTTCTGCCGTCCGAACGCAAAGAGGGCTAAGCACCAATAGGCAACTTGTTCAGAATAAGCACTTCCAGGTTTCGGCAAAATAAACCTTTTTATGTGTTAAGAAAAATAGCTTTGGATGTCTCCCGACCGCAAGTCGCTCCTAATTTTACATTACAATCAAACTCCATTCCTGAAGAATAGCCTCACAGCCTCACATGAAGCCTCATTGTCGGATTGCCTTCGGATGGCAGAGTTACTTCGATCGTGTTTATAGCACTGTACATACATGGTCATGTCTTGCAGTTTGTAGGCCCAACTGGTTCCCCTAATGCTCTCCCCACGACTTTGTACTTTTGTATTTTGTATTCGATGATGGGCTGGAATGGTTCGCTTCCTATATGTCTGTGCTCCAGGAGGTCAAGAGCCATCGAGGCAAGACAGGGACATCAAGACAAGACAGGGGCATCAAGACAAGACAGGGAAGTCAAGACAAGACAGGGAAGTCAAGACAAGACAGGGATATCAAGACAATGCAGGGACATCAACGCAATACAGGGACACCAAGACAACATGGGACAACAAAGCAAGACAGGGACATCAAGGAAAGACAGGGACATCAAGACAAGACAGGGACATCAAATTAAGGCAGGGACATCAAGACACGGCAGGGGCATCAAGACAAGACAGGGAAATCAAAGCAAGGCAGGTACATTGAGGCAAGACAAGGAAATAAAGGCAAGACAGGGACATCAAGGCAAGACAGGGACACCTTCTGTACACGAGCATGATCTAACCTGGTCCTCGCCGCCACTGAGACCCCTGATCTGTAGCATCTCTGCTGTCTTGATGAAACTGGCCAGCTGAGTCTGTGACACGTTCACACTGCCCTTGTACATGAACTCTATGATGGCCCGTAGGTCAGCGGCCGACGTGTCCTTCAGGAAGAACACCATCTGCTGGCACGGGTTGTCCTGCAACGTACCGGCCACATACTGACACATGCTCGGTATGAAGGACAGGCAGGTAAGTATTGATTCACCGGTCCTGGGGCACATCCATCCCTACAACATTCATTACGATATTAACTTTCAACTGAAAATGCATTCATGTACACCTGAATAGCAATAGTACAGCGCACGTGTCATCATGTGCCATTGGGCGTTACGTCGAACCTAGCTGCTGAGGCTACATGGCGTCGCCTGCCTCTCACCCTGACAGGAGGGGTGAAAACAGCGGGGAATCGAACCTCGTATCTCTGGTTTCCCAGACGCGCAGTGGCTAACGCAGACGCGTTAACCACTACACTACCCGCAACCCCTACAATGCACGTAAACGGATGTTGAGCACAAAATTCCAGGTAGGCGCTTAAAACGCGCTGGCCGAGAACATACGACGCCGTTTTAGGCTAAACCATATGTCTTAGGCGCCTCCAGCACGCTAAACTCGGTTGTCAGCAAGCGCTTTCCTTCAATTTGTGCTTTTGTCACATATTACTATCTTGTGAGCTGTCTAATAAATGCCACTTGCATAGGCATTGTACAGAAACTATCAAGTAATCTTGTGCACAAGGAATATTCACTGTAGTGAGACATACCCATTCTGACACAGAGTGAAGTGCACACTGGATGACCCAAACTAACCACTAATCACCATCACAATGCATATCTCTGTCTTAATAACTTACATATTCCACGCATTTTTACCTTGAACAAGTCTCTGAAGTAAGGGCTGCACGCAGACAGCATCATCCTGTGAGCCTTCACCCTCTGGCCCTCGCAGCACAGGGTGATGTCGACCAGTTCCTCATCTTGCCGCAGGTGATCAAACACCGACGTGATGGAGCTCTGGAAGCCATCCCACTTCAGGCAAAACTTCTGGTTGTTCATAGTCTGGAACAGGAGAAATCGTGCACACTGGCAAGGGTGCAGCCGGAATTTGCGGCGGCTGCGGGCTACCACAATCTGCGATGAAGGGGCTAATAGGGTGAAGGATGAAGGACGAATAAATACAGGATGAAATGAAAAGGAATGAAATCAATTAAGGATGACATGAAAAATTATAAGGGATGAAAGGGCTAAGACCAAGCCTTAGCCCCTTCTTGATATATATATATATATATATATATATATATATATATATATATATATATATGTATGTATTGATATACATCTTGAGGCTAAGACTGAGCCTTAGCCTCACTGACAGTATCGCACACTGCATGCAGACTAGCAAACCCCAGAAACGCTATCAGAATAAACCTAGCACATCAATGAGCTTTGAGCTATGGATGCTGGTTTGCCCTGGTGCCTTGCGCAATTGTTTCAGCTGTATGCCTTACATGCTCACTTAGCTCTCTGCTAGCCTTGTTCCTAAAATACAACTACAGGGTCCCACATGTCACTGCTCATGGTAGCTTCTGTATATGTGTCTATATGGAGTGTTTAAACCTGTATGTGATATCTAAGGCTAAAATCGTTTCTGATCACCAGATTCCCAAATTATATTCAGCAATGCCATGGTAAAAACTATGCAGAACAATAAAAATTTAGGCCTGCTGGGATCCCATGAGCCCCCCCCCCCCCCCCCCCTGGCTGTGCCACTGCACACTGGTGAGTTGAGTTGGTGCGTAGGTCAACAGCTTGCCATCTAATGCCCTAACGGCTTGCCATCTAATGCCCTCACAGCTTGCCATCAAATGCCCTCACAGCTTGCCATCTAATGCCCTTCCAATGCATCATTTATTGAAGGCATGCCCCTAATCTACTAAATCTATGCAATCTGAAAGTGCTAGATACCTATATTTTCAGCTCTGGTTGTATTGAGTAAAACTAGCAAGAGGGCAGATCAATCCCAAACACAGAATGTTCCGAACCAGGGGGCTCATGCCTGAAAACTTACTGGTCTCACTTGCTTCTGGTCTAGATGTTCTGACACTTCTACTTTTGACTGGACCTGATGTGATTTAATTGGCAAATGTTGCCATAACCTTATGAGAGAGCAAACATGAAAGAAATTTTGCTGTCTGACCTCGGAAGCATCTGGCTGAAATCTAAGCCTGGAAATCACTGAATGACTCGCACATTATTTCACTAGCCATTCTGGATCTGAATCTCACCTCAGGCTCAGCTTGTCATGCTTTGGAACACTGTCATGAGATGATACTGCAGTTAAGCTGATGGGGGAACTGGGCTGAGCTGATGGGTACATACATGGACGTCATTGGGGCTTCATGAAACATTCAGCCGCTGAGACTATATGGCACAGCCTGCCTCTCACCAGGGAAGGATGAGCAGGCACCATGAACTGGGTACTGTGACTCCCATTTCCCAGATGTGTAGTGGTTAACACAGACACATAGACCACTGTACTATCAACACCCGACTTGGTACCTACTCATTCAGTCTGTGGTGGCTGAACTCTGCCACCAGTGCTTATGTACTGTGTGAGAAGCAGAAATACTCCATGTTGTATTTCCTAGGGCAGCCAGCTGTGTAGAGCATGGGAAATATGATCCCTTGCCAAATATTTACTATCAGACCATTAGAGCTCACATTACTTGCAGCCAGAGACTAAAAGGGTATTAGGGAGATAATGTTCATCATGGTCTTCAGTGACCTGAGATCATGTGGCATCCTCTGTGTGACTGGGTAGTCATAGTATGTGACACCTGTCCCAAGATTTGTAGACCATTAGCCTGACTCTGGAAACCCTTGCCATGGCTTCACCTGAGGTCATGATGTGCAGTGAAATCAGCTTGATTATGCAATGGTTATGTACAACTTCAAATTTCATGGGGGACAAATTGTCAGCTATTACAAATTTAAAATACATCGAGATGCCCAGGGTTCACTATTTCAGCAGCCATTGTGCAACATCAATGCCCACCTGGGTGGGCAGATGATGACCATTTGCTTGGGTGGATACCAATTTACCCTCCCCCAGATCTCAAAAACTGAAAGAGCTAGACACCAAATTCACAGGGTGGTTTGGTCTGTATGTGAGCTTACTTGTGTACAATTTTCAGGCCAATAAGTTGTGACCTTAAAGTCAAATAGCCTGAACTCAAGATTGATGACCAAAATGTTGGCAGGTCTAATGTAACCACCTTGAGCCTGCACACCCATTCTAAGCAAAAGGTCACTGTTGTTTCCAGTTAAGGTCTGTGACCTTTTTGACCTTTTGCAATGGTCATCAGGTCATGGTGACCAAAACCCTATGAGATTGCTTTGATTCTCAAATCTGAATATGCACAAGGATTATATCATGGGTAATGTTACTAAAATGAATGGTTGAGCCAGGTTGTTTTAGGTCAGTGACTTACTCTGATTCTTAAGAAAGCCATGCAAGATGTTGTTGCAGCCTGAATTATCATGAGATTAGAAATAAGCATTAGAAAGTACCCTATAAAGCAAGCTCCAAGAAGCCATTTATCTAGTAAAACACAGATGGGTTTTGACCTTAGTCTGACCTTTGTACCTGAAGATAGGTCAATGGACTGTGTTGTAATCTCCAGTTTGACTCCTGTGTTATCCATGAAACCAGCTCAGAGATGCATGGCTTTGAGAACACTCTGTTGCATCAGATGGAATGATTCTGTAGAAACTGCCTTGGCAGACAGCCACTGACTGCTTTGACCTGCCGCAAGTCAGGAGCCTTACAAAGTACATGTAATTCTCATCATAGTGTCACAACTCCTAGGGGATCAAATTGACCTTCAGCCCCAAACAATGTGTTAAGGAATACTTTCCCAGCAATAGTAGGCTGTTTATTACATACTCATGCTATTATTTCCTTCAAACCAATACTGGTCTCACATGTTTGCATTTTCACATTTCACAGAATCAGGCATAGCAAAAAAGGCCTACTAATAGCAAGCTAGAAATGACTGCCCCAACAGAGCAATTTTTTAGCCTAAAAAAAACAAAGCAACTGAAGTATTATCTGATGAGCACTCCGCTTTGTTGCAATGCTATAAACCAAAATCCAGCAACAAGTTAACACTGTTATGTGAACCTTGCTTCTGAAGTGACCCACATACTGATGGCCAAACTTTCCAGAAATTTTGAAGTCTGCATACATGGAAAGATTCGATCAAAAATAAATGCGCCATGTGAACCAGAACAACACACCACACCTTCCCATGCATCCAGCAAAAGCTATTCTTGGTGTACTGTTTTTGGTGTATTTCTTTATGCTACATACTGAAATTTTCAGCATTCAATTCATGCATTGATGTATTGATGCCTTTATCACATAACATAGAAGGAAATAGCATAAAACTGACCATGCTGAACCAAGTCGAACAATCAACCTTATGTATGACAGAAGTAATATTGACTGCCTTCATGTGGGCACTAGGGAGCACCATGCCACTAACTGGGCAAAAACAATGGCTTTGTTAAAATATGTTACAATATAACACCCACGCTTCCACCCAACCACACCTACCTCAGCGCAAGCGCATTTTATCATTCTACAGCACAGCATCCTTTTCCAGCTTACCAGTCCGATCCCCTGATTTTGCCAGGGGCGCTAGCCAGCAGCCCTATGGAGCATAAACACACTAGAAAATAAAATTGTCCCTTCTGAATAGCAACAATCGTGGCAGCGTTGTTTTGCACCAACTAGCACACCTCACGACGCAAAGACAGCACGTCGACGCTTCGCCGATCCCCCTTGGTTTTCAGTTTTCCGTCCATAGACTTGCGTTCTATCCGCAACGTTTTTGTAATCAAAACACCCAGACCAAAAACACTGCCAACATAGCCATGACGCGTTGTCGATTTCGATTATCCTCAAAACCAGTTTATCAGGCATTCAAAAATTACTACGTCGTTGGAATAAAACAAATGACGTACAAACGGCACTAGACTGCGCTACATAATGCGACCAGTGGGAAAAAACGCTTGACAGCCACCCGGAAAAACGCGGGTCTCGCACTAATTGACTGCATCGATCGCAGCTCGGCACGGTTGGACGGAGCGGCCACGAGTGGGACGCGCTGTTCGCTAATCTTGACCCTCGTTTCTATCCTGATACATACCAAAGCAGACCCCATGTACCCTGCGCACGTCCCCTCCCCCATGCGATCACCCGCCTGGGGATTCCCTAGCCCGTTGGGGGGCGCGTACTTGGCAGTTTAATGTTACGTGGACTGAACCTCTCGCTGAACTGCTATCGTGCTCGTCCGCTACTCTCATAAGCTAATTTGATCCTTCCGCACACAGTATTCAGAATCAGTCGCGCCATGCAACACCCCGCTGATTGGGCTGGGCGTTGGGAAGTCAAGAGGCAATTAAAAGCAGTTTAAAGAATCTTTATTTCACTTTGCCGCCATCGCCCGGCCTCATACGCATCGCCTATTTCTCAGGTCGCAACGTGGCTGTTCTCGGCAGACCGATCTGGATATCATGTAAATTGAGTGATCTCGCCTCGACATTGTGATACATTATATAATAATATCGCCGATAGGGTATCGCGCGGCAGCTTGGCAAAGACCGCGTAGAACAGAGCACTGAAACTCCCGCCATCAAAACCCACGCTGCTGTTCCCACTTACCGTGGCCTGGCGTTCAACCCATGTAGTTCATGTTACCAGGCTGCCGCTACCCTAATATCTCCTCAACCCGTTTTTTAAAGTGCGATTGGAAACGGTAGTGGCCGTTGGACGTTAAGGGGTAAGGCATCGTTGGTCTGTTAATCGCAACAATGCTCCCCAGTCTTCGGAAAGAAAATTGTTTCTGCTCGTCTCACCGCCCACGGAACGCAGAAACGCCGCGACACCTCACCAGCGTGCTTACCAGGACACCACCGCAAACCGTTCAGAATATCGTCCCAATTACTCAAGTACTAATGATTTATATGTGGGGTCAGAGAGACGATCGTGGGCGAGCGGGACGCGCGCCGAGCACACTTCAGGAACCGATGATCCTCAACGCAACCAACTGGCAGCACATTTGACTGAAAATGACCATGTAGCTTGAGCATAGTTGAGGAGATAGTGGTGAGGGAGCTATATGTTGCATACGCATAGCGGCCTCGGCGCTCTTACGGTCATTGGTGTATAGCGGCTTCGGCGCCCTTACGGCCACTGGTGTATGGCGGCTTCGGCGCTCTTACGGTCATTGGTGTTATCTTCGTCCTTTTTACATAGTCTTGATGGTCTATGATTCTACCAAAGCCCGGCAACGTGCGATTTCCGCCCTCGCGTCATTTGTTTCATGTTCCAACCGCCTCTTCTCTACCCATTTTAGCAGCCTGTCACACCATCCCGAAAACGCTGTTCGGTACACAAGACCCGTGTATTCGGGCGCAAGTTCAAGACACAGACAACTCTCACACGCGGAGACCGGCGAGCGCGGAGACCGGTGAGCGCGGAGACCGGCGAGCGCGGAGCCCAGCACGCGCAGCGCGCGGAATGGACGGCCCTGCCATAGGCGAGCCAGCGGATGGTGCAGTGAACCTGCCGGACGTGTGGGGTGTCAGAGACGATGGTGGGCGACGAACAGGACGCGCGCCGAGATCACTTCAGGAGTCGATGGTCGTCAACGCGATCAGTAGCAGAACTGACTGTGAAAATCATCATGTAGCATGAGCCTAGTTGAGGAGATAGTAGTGGGGGAGTTACAGTAGTCTGGGAGCAACACCAGGACATCACGCACCACCACTGGGCGACTCAGGGAGAAAAAAAACAGCACATCATGCATCACCATGCGGTGACGCATCACTTCCGGGACGAAGCTCGGTCGCCCTGTCCGTTATCCCGCAAGCCGGCCTGTGCCTCACCTTGATGAGATGTGTGGTCGCGGTTGAGGACACAGCTACGGGGGAAGGGGGCCAGCCGCGCTAATACGGCTGGTGGCGCGAGCTGCCGCCCCGGCCGCCGCCACCGCCGCGCTGCTTCCCGCCGCTGTAGCCCTGACCGCCGTCGTAGCCGCCGCCGTAGCCGCTGCCGTAGCCGCTGTCGTACCCGCCGTAACCCCCGTACCCACCGTATCCGCCGTAGTAGTCGCCGCCGTATCCTGAAGCGGACGTTGCCGTCAGATAACGCGGAAGACGCCAGGATCACACGATAGTTAAGCTCAGCGTTCGCGTTCATTTCAAATATTAGAACCCCCACCCCTCCCACAGAACTCATCACACAGACACGAAAAAGGGGCCGCCCGCGCACTTACCCTGACTCAGTGCATCGCGAGGCACCCCATGCGACAGTCTACAGCTGTAAAACGTCACTGCATGGGGGTGCTGATGGACGGCCAGCCCCACAGGTGGTTGCAATTCCGCTCGCCAGGCGCCCAACACGTTCAGGCCTCGTCCAGGTGCCGACACCACCGTGTCACCATTCGGCGATTTATTGGTGGGCCAAGACCGCACTAGGAGCCGCGGGTCCGCACATAGAAAATAAACCCACGCGCGTCCGCCTACGTCACAGCAAAAGCTTCGCAAAACAAGGAAGAACACCAACGAATGCCGCGTCGGGAGCACCCGCTCGCCCGCCGCCACGGGCCTTTGTACCAGCGTGATCCACCGTCTGCTCCCTCTCTCGCACGCACGCGCGCACACTCCAGACACACGCGCACGCACGCAGTCCTCCCCGCCGCGCCCGCACGCGTCACTGTCGCCACGAGCTGTAGGCGTCGGCGTACGGTCGGCTGTGCTCGCGTCCGCCGCCGTACTGCGCCGCTGCCGAACAGAGACACAGCGCTAGAGGCAGGCCGGCGGCGCGCGCGCGCGCGAGATTTTGGCGCGACGAGCACGGCCGCACGGCGCTGTTTCTCGGCGCGCCCCGTACGGTCGCTGACGCTTGGCCGCCGGACGGGCTGGCGTTTTGACCCGCGACGGACGCGCGTGACGTTCGACTCCGAGCCGCACGAGAGCGTGCGCATTCACCCCGCGCTTCGATCGATCAGGTTCTACGGCATTTTCCTGGACGACGTGCCCGAAGAGAAAAACGAAGACGCGGAGATCGGCCCCAAAGCACGCAAGCGCGGCCCAGCTGAGAGGACTTCCGCACGCCCGCAGGCGCACACAACGGCCACTCACCTCCGTAGTTATCGTATCCGCCGCCACCGTAGCCGCCGTAGCCGCCGCCGTAGCCCCCGTAGCCACCGCCCCAGCCGCCGCCCCAGCCACCGCGACCTCCGCGGCCTCCTGTCGGAACACCGGGGTCAGGTCAGGTCGGGTCGGGTCGGATCAGGACTGGTCATGGCAGTCACTTATAATCGACGTCTTCGGAGAAGCCCGATCGCTACAAACACGAACAACGGTCTTGCCGATTGCTGTGATGCACCTCATCTCACAGCCACGCATACACGCATTCGCGCTCTGAAACAGGATGCACAGCATTCCCCTGCTCAGCACATATGGCGGCGGTGGAGGGGAGGAACTTCCCTCCTTGCGGAGTGTCAGCACATTCCTGCTCTCACCTGCTGGCCAACCTTATGCCATGAAGAGCCAAGACGGCGCCAAGGCGGGCTCTTTAGCAAGTGAACTTACGGACATCGCAAACCATCGCCGGCCACAAAGCCGGCACCCAGAGCCCATTGCGCGACGCAAACTTACGCAGCGCGCGCCGGCGCCCTCACCGGAGACAGAACCGTCCTCGCACTCGTCGCTGCCGCGCCGTGCCCGGTCTGCCTCGTGAGTCTTACGTGTCGACACGCCCCGGCGACGCGGCCCCGGTCATCACCTCTCATCATACCCCGTCCGCCGCGCGGCGCGCCGCGCATGCCGCCGCGGCCACCGTCCGGCTTCGGGGTCGCCTTCTTGACGTCCACCTCAATGTCCTTGATCTTGGTCTTGCCGACGCGGATCAGGTCCTGCACGACCTGCTCCTGCTCAAAGGTGATGAAGCAGAAGCCCTTGCGCTGGTTCTTGATCTTATCCATGGGCATCTCGACCTCCACCACCTGCGGCGGAATGAGTGGGCGGTGAGATCCCGAGCGGCACTACAGAGTTCGCTGCTGTGGTGTTTTAAGCAGAATTCAACTATTTCCTTCTCCACGACGTTCTGGAATCATGACAGAGCAGCACTTGGCCCCGACAAAATCATCATTTCAACACGCAACAGCTGACCACGACAAAACCCGGAGGAAACACATTTCCAAGCCCAAAGCACCATCTGCCCTCATATCATCACCACAGCTACCACAGCCAGCTTCCTACCGTGCCCATGGCGCTGAAGTGGTTCTTGATGTCGTCATCGGACATCTCGGGCTTGAGACCGCCGACGAAGATCTTGCCGTGACGCGCCTTGGCCTTCTTTGGGTCCACCTTCTTGCCATTGATGATGTGCTCAGCCTTGTTCAGTACCTGGTGGGGATCACAGATCCAGTCAGCCTTGCACACGCACAGCCCGCTTGGGATGGGGGTCCGGAGCGGGATGCCTCGCACATTCCGCAATTCAGCAGACCCTGCCACACGACTGGCGGCGGCACCAGCCCCGGCCAGCAGGATGCGTCCAGTCTCCAAATCGCCACCCACGGAACGGCACGGCCACGGACGGCGCTTCGAGTCGGCCGGTCGGCCAGCCCACCTTCTCGATGGTTTCGGTGGAGGAGAAGACGAGGAATGCGAAGCCCCGTGACCGGCCAGTGTTGGGATCTGTCTTCACGTTCACGGACTCGATCTCGCCGAACGCGCCGAAGTACTCGCGCAGCTCCTCTGTGGAGGGGCGGAGTCGCGCCGTAAGGAGGCGATCTCCGACACCGTCAAAGGTGACAAGGCAGAGGCTGTAGCCAGTGCAAAGTGGTTGGGTGGCAACACACCATCAGGATGTCATTTAACCACAGATTTAATGATGGAAGTCTATCACAAAGGCTGCCAACTGCACACTTCTCAGAGATAGGAGCATCACAATGTTGAAATTGTGCCCTTGAGTGCCAGGGTGGACAGCTGGTCTGCACATAATAACAATCGAAAGCACTCATGATTGACCAGGAAGACAGCACTTTATCAGCAAGTATCTTCAGGGGAATCCCTCAGAAAATTTCACTGTGAACAGCACAAGCACAGAGACCAGAGAGCAGAAATCTATGACACCATGCAATTCTGATTAAACAATCACTCACTTTCTGAGCTCTCCCAGCTGAGGCCACCGACGAAGAGTTTCCTGGAACAGAGGCAAAGGGGCCGGTCACCACGCGCCCCCGCCCGGCTAAGCCCACGGCGCCGGCCCCGCCAGCGGCCGGGCGCGGGCACACAGACAGAAGAGAGAAAGGTCGGGCATACTTTACCATGGAGAGTTCGTTAGCGGCCCAGAGCTGCTACGTTATGCAGCCAGCGCGGCAGCACCCAGACTGCTCTGAGCCGCGCACGGGCCTCGGGCGCTTGCAAACGGACCGGCCCGGGCCCGAGGCAAGGCAACTGGAGGCATGATGAGGCTGCCAACTGTCACTGCAAAGACGCGGGGGCCCGGCGCCGGTCGGCCGGCGCTGCGGGGTTACGTTAGGGACGGGCCACCCGGCCGGGCATAAATACCGTAGGTGCGGCCCCGGCGAGCCAGGTCACGGGGCGCCCGCAGCTCGCCTGCCGAAGGAGGGTGATGGTCAGTGCGCGCGCCGCCGGCCAAGGCCCGGCCCCAGCGGCGGTTACCTGGACCTGAGCTCTGCCCGCAGCCAGCGAGGAGAGGCCGGCAATGTTTACGAGCTGATGTTCCGGCCGAGAGGCGACGTTGACTATTAAGCTGACAGCTCGAGGAGGACCACTGCAGAGAGAGAATGATGGGAACTGCTCTTACTTGATCCGCAGCATAGAAAAGTCCCGTCAGCAACGTGAGATCTGTTCTGGAATGGCAAATGCAACGCAAGTATGGAGCAAGAGAGCACATCCCGAAATCAACACCACAACGCGGTTCCAAGCAATTCAACCAGAAATACAGTGAAACAGTGGCACAATCCATGTCATGCAACCCAGATGTGTATGGCATATCCAGCTAAAAGATCAATGACCCAAATGATGGACACAACTTCCTGAAGTTTATTCTGTCTTGAAATGCTGTAGCTGCAACTGGAGGGCAATCTGAAATGCACCAAGCCCACAAAGCAAAAAAAGCACCAATACTCAGCTTCAATTGCAAATCAATACAAAGACAACATCAAAGTGGAAGGCAATGCTGTGAAACTGGAACTGGACTGGAAACAGACTGAGATTATTAACAGAAGTATGATTATATGCTGCACAAACTCTGAGGTAAGAGCCAATGCACCAACCAAAAGAGGGGGGCAAACATTATCACAACAGCTTTCAGCCTTCTGGCCATGCAGCTCCTGAGGGAGCAGCCCTGGTACAGCCTGGCAGCCTGACAGAGAACCAGGCCCACCATCAAAAAGGACATGTCAAATTCCTGGTGATCATGACAGAACATTCGAGTCCTTTTCAGGCCCCCGGACTGATGAACTCTGCCCCCACCCCTGCATGACTGAAAGTTGCTGAAAGTGTTCTGGCATCAAACACACAAAACTGAATTTAATGTCAGTTATTATGAAAGTTGATAGGCCAGGTCCCACCTGTCTTTGGTTATCATGTTTACACTTAGCACCATACATAGCTGTGTGCAGTAAATGCATGTTAGCAAAGTGTGCTGGATTCACTGCATGTCCTCCAATCCTGTGGCCCATGTGTTTAACACAACCACCACCCACCTTCACACCCACAGTCTGCAAAGTGTGCCATGCCAGAATACAAATTAGGTCTTAACCTTTCTTAGAACAGTACATCTGTACCTAAAAGACATGCCAGCCCTGGCCAGCACACCTATTACACAAAATGCAAGACTGAGCAAGCAGTACTTCAGGCCAGCTGCAACAAAACAACTTTTGATGAAAGATAATTTGAAATTGCTACCTTAGATAATATATTCCAGTCCCTCTCACACACACACAATTAGAGCACAGTGAAACATAATTTATTTAAAGAAGCAATCACACAAAAACAAAGGAAAATACAAAAGGAAAAATAAATTTCCTTTCATGACTTGACATGACTATCATCACACTTCATTTACATCATTTAATTTGACTGCCATCATTTAATTTACATATCAGGCCTGACCAGCACATACATTATGTTTAGAACAAGACTGACCTTGGATACTAAAGGTCAATTGCCATGAAAAAATTAACCACGAAGGGCAATTCGATATTGCTTCCTTTGAAATAATATCCCATTCTCCGCTTGAACACACAACTGGAACATAATGCAAGATAGAAGTTTAATGAAAGAAATTATTTAACAAAAATTACAATTAAAAAGGAAAAATGTGCTCCCTTTCATGACCCAATCATTGCAACTCACCTATATCTTAAATGGCAGGAAGCAAACAAGCATATTTATTGAAAGAAGCAATCACGCAAAAACAAAGGAAAATACAAAAGGAAAAATAAATTTCCTTTCATGACTTTATCATCACACTTCATTTACATCATTTAATTTGACTGCCATCATTTAATTTACTTATCAGGCCTGACCAGCACATACATTATGTTTGGAACAAGATTGACCTTGGATACTAAAGGTCAATTGCCATGAAAAAATTAACCACGAAGGGCAATTCGATATTGCTTCCTTTGAAATAATATCCCATTCTCTGCTTGAACACAACTGGAACATAATGCAAGATAGAAGTTTAATGAAATAAATTATTTAACAAAAATTACAGTTAAAAAGGAAAAATGTGCTCCCTTTCATGACTCAATCATTGCAACTCATCTATATCTTAAATGGCAAGAAGCAAACAAGCATAACAAAACCCCCAAAATATTATGGGAAATAGACTAGGATGGGCCAATCCAGAAGTTCATTCAAACACAAAAGAGAAAGGATTTTTGCACAGCTCAATCGACATGCAACACAATTAGCAGTTTTTTCATCTTAGGGGCCCAAACTGGGAACCAGTGGCAGACCAATGAACAAGACATTTGAGGCACACCAAACCAAGCCCAAAATGGTGCAGCCAACTTACCACTTGAAGCAGGGATAGGAGCCTCCCAAATTATATTGATCATCTGATTTCCACTTATTATCACTGATCCTCTGCACAAGACAGGCCTATCATAATGAATGTATTTCCAATTCAGTATTTAGTACCACACTGCACCATTACAAAATTTGCAGCATTCAAAATGCCCCTTTCATTTTGAGACATTCAAAATCATTAAAGACTGATGATAGATGGGATTAGCAGCCTAAAATATATGGATAGACTTGTGGCCTTGGAATTGTATTTACTAAAATGCCATAGACTTATGAGGGGATCTTACAGAGGTAAACAAGAATATGAATGAAGTAGACAAGGCAGATATACATAAAGCACTGGAAATTAACCTGGGATATAAGATAAAAAGTAGCCAGATTTCTTTACTCAAAGGCAGCCAAACTATGAAAAGGCATATGTCATGAAATTAATAGGTAGTGTCTGATTGGAACATGTGGACAAAACTGTAGGATAGAGCTTTCTACAAGCATCTGACATTCATTGGAATATTACATCGGCCTACAAAATTCTGAACTGCCAAATTTTTGCAAGTCAGGTGGTAAGATCATTTGAGGCATGTGTATGAAAAACGGCATGGATCCTACTTGATCCTGCTTGAAATGTATATTCTGGCCAGTGCTTAGCTGGCCAGAATGGTCAAGGCCTTAGCTGGCCAACCCCACACCAGCACTTATGAAACTTTGCATGGGCAATGATCAATCATGAGTGAAACCCACACAGAAATCTCCTTTAAAATGAGCACAACCATGTCAATTATCTCCCAAACTGTATTCAGTGCAATACCCTGGGAACACAGAACAATGAGCAAGAGCATATGACTTACAAATGACTCAAACAGTATCAGTATGCCTTCCTGCCATACCCATGGATACACCAGATGTAAGGGGCAGAACATTCTAAGAAATCATTTGAGAATTACTGACTGGACCTGCAATAACTGCCACTGCCATACAGAGCTTTGTCTTGCATGCCAGCAATTAACCTCTCCAGAAGCACATCAAACACATCCTTTGATAGGCAAAAACCATCTGAATGACACACTTTGCAGACTGGCATTTCCCAATAAGTGTGCGACGGTAGCACACATAACTGACCTCTCGTCATCTCTGCCCGGAGCCTCAGCCGCGCCGCTGTCCTTGCCGGCACCGTCTCCACCTCCGTTGGCATTCTTCGAACTTCCATTCTCCTGTGGAAGAGCTTCGCCAGAGTTGAAGCCTTCGTTGCCCGTGTAGTCTGATGTGAAGTCTTCGCTCATCTGCACATCATTCCCAGTGTCAGCCATGACTTCTGTGAAGAGCGCACTCCCAAAGATGGCGCCGACCGGAAACAGAACGGTCCTGACGCGCAAAATCGATAGGACGCATTCTGGGTAGTAGTTCACAATACATCCACCAGGCGGACTGCAGAAGCGCCGTAGCAAAACGGGACCATAACAACGCACTCAAGCACCACGACTGGTACAAATCAACTCACCTTTCGCACTCTTCTGTGTTCCAAGTCAAGAAGATAAAAGTTCACCAGTTAATAGCCTGAAACTGCCCACAACCCAGGTGCGGCCCCAACCCTGCCAAGTTTTGGACGCGAGAGGCCGGCGCCGTGATACACCGTTGCCAAGTTATTTTACAAAATATATGTCTTGATATGCCAAATGCTGACTAATCAAACAGCAATTGCTTGTGTGGACAGTTTTTACCAAAGCGTATGTGTGTTTTAATATTTCAGCCTTTTCACAAACGTAAACCAAATGAATTAGCATCACCCTTACCAAGCGCTTCACTAGGGGAACAAAGAAAAAAGGTGCTGCTATATTCCAAGCTCTCACCTCTAAGCAATTATGCAAACATGCGTTTCTTTCAGACCAATCAGACAAGCACTTCCCCAGCAGAGAGGCGTGCGCCCCCCCCCCCCCCCCTCGGTAGCATCTCCCAGGACTTTCCATCTTTCGGCGGGAAGCACCACGGTCGGTCTATACCCACGGCAACTCGCAAAGTCAAAACACCGGGCATCGTCGCCACGAGCGGAACATCGGTCGCGGCGCACGATCGCCTACGCCGTAAGCTCCCTCCGCCCCCTACGCAGACGCCACCCATGGCTCCCACAGACGCCAATCGTGAGAAACTGGAACAGAACCTCAAAGATACCTCCAGGGCGAGTACTTTCAAAGTGTGCCCCCACCTTTCCCTAAACACCATACCAGGGCCACCGTCGGAGCTGATGCTAGACCCTGGCGCGACTACCGTCGCGCAGCATACACCCATACCAGTGCCCCTGCATTGGCATGCAGAGGGAAAGGCCGTACTCGATCGTGGCGTCCAGCTAAGGGTACCTGTGGGTACAGGTACACAGGGTACCTGAGAGGACGTCGTCGGGGTACAGGGTACCCCGACGACACCGGCACCACTACCTCGACCGAGGATGCCGCATTCGCCGCAGTCGAACGCCTGGTCACCAACACCGACGACGGTCTTGTACCGTCGGTAACGACGATCGATTTGTCAAAGGTGCTCCATAGCGTTGACCACCATGTCTTCTTGACCAAGCTGTCTTGGTATGGCGTTACGTTGGGTTCATGGTACAAGCGGTTCATGGATCCTCTTGGATTCTCTGAGGTAGTAACAGGGGGCGTAGCTTCATAGCATGAGTTGGGAGTGTGGGGGGGGGGGGGGGGGGGGCGAAGAGTGAAAAATGACCCAGCCTACCCCTAAAATATGCCAAAAGAGGTTTCCTCGAAGATTGGGCCCACTTCCCACAACGTGGGGACGGGAATCCAAGTTGGAACCCCCTAACCGAATAGGAAACAACACGTCTGGTAGCCACTCACCTTCTTGACAATGGCCATCGCTTCTGAGCAAACTCAGGGAAGCGGCAGATGGCACGGATCAGTCGCGTCCACAGTGTGCGATATGCTGACCGCTGGGATCGAGGTCTTTCCACGTCAGCGGGACGATTCCGAATCCAGCTGACACAACACACCGGGCTGATTGTGGATTGAGCAACTCGGCGTCACACTCAGCCGCAGTTCCATTACAGCTCTTGGAAATATGTGGTGTGATATCTGGTAGATCATCATGGAGTCGATTCCGGCAATGATAGCTAATTAGATTGCATGTTATGCCGTCCATGAATACCAAATCTTTGTTACAATGTCGCATATATCTCAGTTACAGCTCACATGTCAGACTGCAGTTGGATGCGCAAGCAAATTAATTAGTTTGCCCTTCGATATAGCCCCATAAAGCTATGAATGTCTCCCATAAAACTTATATTTATGTCACAAACCCATAACCATGCACCCTATGCTTGTATTGGCATTCAATCACTGACAACTTTTTTGTCACTTAACTACGACTCCGACCCAAACCAATTTCAAAGGAATCGATACCACTCTGCCTGAACGCAATCAGGGTAGACTCCGAATCCAACCAGATTCCAGCAAAAGTGTACGCCGCACAGGAACGCATTCATGCATGAGACGTCACGTCAGGGGGAGGGGAGGGGAATTTGCTTCAATGCTGTTTCACAAAGACACCAAGCCCACCCAAAGACAAATGCTGGGGGTACCGTTTGCGTTGCTGCCAGGAATGATTAGTTTTACCCGCTGGTCACGCCCAATACTGTGTGGGGTTTCACCCGCTGGTCACGCTCGATATTGTGTGGGGTTTTACACGCTGGTCACGCTCGATATTGTGTGGGGTTTTACCCGCTGGTCACGCCCGATATTGTGTGGGGTTTTACCCGCTGGTCACGCTCGATATTGTGTGGGGTTTTACACGCTGGTCACGCTCGATATTGTGTGGGGGTTTACACGCTGGTCACGCTCGATATTGTGTGGGGTTTTACACGCTGGTCACGCTCGATTATTGTGTGGGGGTTTACACGCTGGTCACGCCTCGATATTGTGTGGGGGTTTTAATCCGCTGGTCACGCTCGATATTGTGTGGGGTTTACCCCGTGGTCACGCCCGATACTGTGTGGGGTTTTACCCGCTGGTCACCGCCCGATATTGTGCGGGTTTTACCCGCTGGTCACGCTCGATACTGTGTGGGGTTTTAGCGCTGCGGGGTTTTACCCGCTGGTCACGCTCGATACTGTGTGGGGTTTTATCCGCTGGTCACGCCCGATACTGGGTGGGGTTTTACCCGCTGGTCACGCTCGATGTCATGTGGGCGTCTTTCTGTGTTGTAGCCCCCACTTCCATAATCGTATTCGAGCGGCATCACAAACACGCCTTCCTGCCTTACCCAATTTTTACCTGCGTGCAAATAAAATTCGACGATTGAGAAAACGGTGCGTGTGCGTGAAATCACCCTTATAAGCATTTAGAAACTAGCCGATCCCGTTCAGGCGGCCGCGGGGGGGGGAGGGGCGTGCCAAAACCTTTCTAAAAATATGATTGACCGCTCTACCAGCTGATATCCTTAATGTCTGCTCAGATATGACGGTTGCTGGCAACAACGCAAGCCTAATCCTGCAGCTAACGGCACTAAACCGCTGGAGCAGTGGTACTGATGAACTAGAAGCTTCAGCGAAATGTTCGGGCGGACGCGTCAGGACAGATTGAATAGGCATTTATTATAAATATTTTTACATTAAAGTAGTAATTACACACACACACACACACACACACACACACATATATATATATATATATATATATATATATATATATATATATATATATGTATATCTCTCTCTCTCTCTAATATACACTTGCCACAAAGATTTATTATAAATATATATTTATCAAGAGGATTTTTGTCCCGGTCAGTGGCGTCGCTGTCCACATGACGTTCCGGATCGTTGCTCCTCCGCCGCAACCACCTGTGGGCCAGTCCCGATGCGGGCCGGTGGACTTCTAGCGCGCAGCCATATGCTACAGCTTGGAAGGTATCCTACAGCTACGATGTCCGAACCCACAATGTCGCGATCCGTGGGCGGAAACTTCGACCACTTAACTGCCACGGAAAACGCTTTCACTTCCCATAGCGTAGCGATGCTTGTGGAAACCACACCCCTGCGTGTGGACACGGCAGCCACATGACGTCATCAACATCTCCCTCGGAGTTGATGACGCAGCGAACAGTGAAGCACATTTCAAATTCTGCTTCACATTGCTATGCAAAACTGAAAATAACACGTGTAGAGCGGAAAAGCCGCGATGGGGCCTTGTGCGCAATTTCTTACGCATATTTATCAACACTTCTTGCAGCTAAAAAACGGACATGAAGAGCCCAATGAAATCATTGCACACATGTATTTCAGTAAATACATCAACAGCCAACACCACTCACGGCGCACGATCAGGCCGGGGGTAACACGCGGGCACCACATGTCACAGTGAGACCCGCGAAATCAATGCTACCGTGTAACTCACAACCGTCAGAGGCGGATCCAGGATTTTTCCGTGGGGGGGGGGGAGGGTCAATTAAACCTTTCAGACATAGGGCGGCAAACGGCGCCACGAACATAACGTGTGAATGTGTGCATCATGCTCCATGCCTGCATTGTGCCAAGTTCCTACAATATTTATCACAAGGCGTCGGATACTGGGGCACGTTCATGTCTTTGCTGACTAATATGCTCTTGGAACCCTAAGCCATTTTACGGGCCAAATTTCTCCCTCTTAGAGAAATATCCGTGCAAACCCAACCCAGGGTATATGCCCACACCCCCTAGGTTCCTTCCCTTTGGTCCGGCCATGTCAAGCCAAGCCCATGCCATGCCAAGTGGGCAAAGCAGAGAGCAGTTGGCAATGACAGGCGCCGGACATTGCCATGGCAGCTGGCGATGACAAGCGCCGGACATTGCCATGGCAGCTGGCGATGACAAGCGCCGGACATTGCCATAACAGCTGGCGATGACAAGCGCCGGACATTGCCATGGTAGCTGGCGATGACAAGCGCCGGACATTGCCATGGTAGCTGGCGATGACAAGCGCCGGACATTGCCATGACACGCTTCAAAAGCAACACCTGAAAGCCAACCCCACACCACGAAATCGTACAGGTAGTGGTCATTGACTTCGCCGTCCGATGTGACTGCGGCAACATGGCCTCGAAGCCCTCCGACGTGGCAGGAATGGCACGACTCAGCTATACCTCCCACCGTCAGGGCGAAGCCTGGCACCTCCCAACTGCTCGAGATCAGATGCCTCAACGCCACGGCACGGCGAGCGTTTCAGCGCGTTTCATCAGCGCGATGATCAAAATGGCGGGGGATCACGATACCCGCACAATCCCTATGCTCTTGCGGCCAGTTCTAGCCTTAAAGGCGCTCGTAACCCTGCTAAAACATTCCTAGCCTGCCAATGAGAACCGACGACGTCACACCCGGCACACCATGACGCCACGCCGGGTACACCAATGACGTCACGCCCAGTACACCCGTGACGTCGCGCCCGGCGCACCGATGACGGCACGCCCGGCACGTCTTCAAGCGCTGCTACATTGTCTGCTAGTATGATGGAGCCCTGGACAGACCCGAGCTTTGATCAAGCGGCTGTGACGTCACGGGCAGACAGCTGCACTCGGTACCACTAGCCAATGGCGAGAAACCGTGTTCAGATCAAGCGGGCCGATTTCACCAGACTACGAAACGCAGACGCTGGCTGCATTGCGTCAGAGGCTGGCGAGACACGGTGGTTTTGAACTCGGCTCTTCGCATGCAACACCTCCAGGCGTAATGTCCAAGTCCGCCTCGGTGTGGGGACTCGTCTCCCGCGGCAAACCACGCCGGCACAGCGATCATTTGGTGATCATGCAGTGATCATTCACGCCGTGATCGCAAACGTTCAGCTTTGGCCGATGGTACCCACCTGTGCAGGGGGGAGGGGGAAGGGGAGGGGATGTCAAGTTAGGAGGAGCCAGGTCGCTGTCTTTGCGTCCAATCATCGTGTTCGTGGCCCACAAAGAGAACCGCCCTCGTACCGCCCTTAGCTAAGAGACCGGACGCCTCGCTCTGTGGCAACGAAAGGGGACCAGGAACTGTAACCGAGCTAATCTTCGCCTCTGATCCGGGCGACATCGGCCCAAGTCTTCCCAAGCATGGACGGAATATCGTCGTATGTGCGTCAAAACAAGGTAAGAGACGGAGCAAAACATCGCCACTGACCGCGAAAAAGAACTGCAACAGTTTAACTCACACCACGCTAAGCGCAGCCCTGATTAACGCCTGGCCAGAGGAAACCTGCCTTACAAAAATAAAACATCCGTTGACGGTCTGGAAATCAAGTCGCTGACACACCACTGAGAACTGAACGAGCGACATGGCACCGTGCTCTTAGCACGGCCGTGCTGAGGTCAACCAACACCAGGAACTAACGCAACAGGCTCAAACATCTATCACGGTAGCTGATCCGTAGCTGATCAAGGAATGCCCTCTTCTCCAGGACAGCAGGCTTTGCCTCGACCTCCTGGACCTCTTCCTCCGGCCACCACCGGCGTAAGACGCTCTCGGATGCCCGCGCGCCGCCTCTGGGCCCGCGCTGTTCACCACACCTTGAGGGAGTTCAACACCATCTCCAGCTGGGGGTTTCCACCTGGGAGGGCAGAGAAAGTAGGCCGGTGATGGTGGCCCGAATAAAAGTACAGACAGATGTGGAAGTCACGACGACGTTGCAACTTTGCGGCAAAAGCAAGTCTCAAATCGCAAGATGAATCGCGTCACAGTATTTTACAGATGAGTCGATGAAAAAACGTGGTAATTTATGCACTTCACTTGGCGTGACGTTTTAGCACCTCCGTCCTGGATTCGAACCCCGGACCTTCCTTACACGGGTGCACCACCTCGTCGCTTCCCCATGAAGCCCTTACCTAGCGTCTTTATCTGGTCACGAGCCTCAGCATCTAAACACTTGAGCGTCTCCAGGGTGTATTCAAAGGAACCGAACTGCTTCAGCAGCACGATGCAGTACTTTTTCACCTGGGAGAAGAAAACAAGGCAGTTTAACCGGTTTTAGCCGGTAAGGGGCGGTGACGTGTGAAACGGATGCGATGACGTCCATAGGTTCGGGCAGAACTCAAGAGATGCAGAGGGCCGGGCCCGGGTCGCGTCAGGTCAGATAAGGAGCTGTCGAGGCCAGGTCATAGGTCAGAGAGGGAGCAGTATAGGTCAGGTCAGAAAGCTAGAGGAGCTGTGGAGGACAGGCGTCAGGTCATGAGGTCAGAGAAGGTGCTGGGGATGTCAGGTCAAGAGATCAAAAAAGCTATGGAGGACAGGTCACAAGGTCAGAGAAGATGACAGCTGGAGCCGTGGGGTACAAGTTGGCCTCATTCGTTACCAATCGCTGGGACGGAGTTATAACTCTATAGTAATTGTCACCAACTCAATAGGACATGATGACATGCCATTAGAATTGTCGTGGGATCGGTGTCGATGGCATTGAGTCAGTTATGTCGTAAAGACTGCGCAGTTAGTCATGCACTGCACCGGCTCTAAAACATTCATAAATATGCAGGTCCGAGACGCGTCCTTGATTAGTGCATTTTACCAAAGTAACACTGAAAGACGGACCTCGAGCCTGAGCCATCCAGCACAATGCGGTCAGTTAATCAGGTGGTGATGCGGAGTCGGGACCCGGGTCTTGCCTTGCCGCGATTCATATTTTCATTTCATTTCATTCATTCATTCATTCTTCGCGCTTTCCAGCGTTGAACAATCTCAGTTTCAGCGAATCGTAAAAGGTGACACTGGGCGAATATTACTGACAACGGAGAAATGACGAACGCGAAAAAACCTGAGGCGGTCAGCTGAACAAGACATGACAGTGTCTGCGCAATTCTCGACGTATGTTATAACAATGCAACACGCGCACCGTCAAAAAAACTGCTTATACATCCGAAACAACGCTCGCAAAATGTGATTTGCTCATCCCGGGAATCGAACCCTCGCTCACGCCCTGTCTACTCACAACCCCGGTGACTCGCCTACGCAGCTACGAACCTCGATGTCGGTGGTGCGCTGCCTGATGATGCTGATGATGCGCGTGTCGTCCGGCCGACTGGTGATGGCGTGGATGCAGGGGAAGTTGAACTTCCCTTCTGTCAGGTCCTCGGCGTAGCTCTTATTCTCCGCGTACTGCCGGGCGACAAGAAATAAGGTAGCCCTCTCAAGAATTTGGCGTAGCGCGGCGCTCTTAGCGCTCTCGAGGCAGACATGTCAGAGTGCGCCTTTGTCATGTTCAAGTGACTCAAGCTGCTTTCTGTATGGTAGATAGAGTAGCAGGCAAAGCTATTCTGCCATTCTGCCAAAAGGTCAAATGGCCCGCACAATCTTTCGGCAATCAAGTTACCGATACCCTTCGATGCAGCTCGAAAAACTGTACCTTGCAAAGCAAAGACAAAGTTGGACAAGTTGGACAGAAGACAAAGACAAAGACAAAGACGAAATTTTGAAACCTGCACATTCACGAATGTATATTTCTGGGCATCTAGGCTTTTTCTAAGCAATTGGCCAGGTCGCGCTCAGCCCTTTTTGCTTTTCGACGACAGCATAGTCAGTGCCTTATCATAAGGTCGCTGGAGATCGCGCGGTATGTTGAACCTCGCCCTAACGCACTGCACAGTTCCTACTGGACATAAGGCGGAACCCCTCTATGTAGGGCACGCCGCTGTTGTTGCTGCTCTAGCTGTCGTCTTATTTCACGCAACGAGAGCATCCGGTCCACCAATGCAACATTTTCTTCATGAATGGATTCCTACGAAGTCTTTGTTAGTAACAAGCTGTCATTTCAATAATCAGTAAACTATGGCCTCTCATCTCGATTCATGTGTTGATGACGGTTTGGCATCCCATGCAATCACACGATGACCCACCACACATCACATCTACGAGCCACCGACCCCATGTCGGACGGGGCCACCGGCGCGGGTCACTAAGGCCACCAGCGCGGGTCACTGACCTCTTCAAGACACAGGTTGGCGTAGTCGTCCCGGATCTGGAAGTAGAGGCCGAGCGTGGAAGCGAGCTTGCTGAAGTCGTGTTGGCAGCTGGAGAACAGCTGCATCAGCCGGGTGGCCAGCCCGAACAGGCCACCCGTCTCTGGCGGCGACACACGCACGTCACGTCACCGAACGTCACATCACAGAACGTTACATCACAGAACGTCACGTCGCAGAACGTGACATAACGTCACGTGACATGACGCCACATCACCAAACGACAAGTCACATCACCGAACGTCACATCACATACCGTCACGTCACATAACGTCACGTCACGTCACCGAACGTCATATCATATAACGTCAAGTCATAACACGTCACGTTACCGAACGTGACGTCACATAACGTCACGCCGCTGAACGTCACACACAACCGTAGGGTGGAAGATTTCCGCCGGGAGGTTTAACGTCACGTCACGTCCACGTCCACCAGGTCACGAACAGCCGGAAGGGGCTGGCCGGCCCACGACTTCCCCGTCCGCGACCTGATGGGGGTGACCTTCCGGGGCTCTTTGGTGCTGCCGCCGCAGGCGAGTGACGCCGGCGCGCTGTCTCCATTGGGCCGTTTGGCGGTTCGAACCCCTTTCAGCGACGCGTAACTGGCGGATGCCGAGCGAAGGGAACAGCTTTCTGGGAACGGGTTGCGGGTCGCGGGTTGCGGGGTGCGGGGTGCGGGGTGCGGGGTGCGGGGTGCGGGATGCGGGGTGCGGGGTGTGGGGTGCAGAAATGGGACACAGGATGTGGGTTGTGGGTTGTGGGTTGCGGGTGTGGGATGCATCCTGTGGATTTTGAGTTGTAGGGTGTGGGGTATGGGTTGCGGGGGTGCAGGGTGCGGGTTTTTTTAAACCACATTTTACATAAACACCATATTTTAGAGATAATTCTATATGTCCAAGATATCGTCAAGCACAAATCCTGTTCCAGCAGCCACACTGACATCCGCAAAATACCACAGCAACGTACACCGCCCGTGAGCACAGGGAAGATCCCTGCACGCTCATTGGTGGGTGAGTGTGAGCATACGGGTAAATTCCTGCACGCTCATTGGTGGGCGATTGTGAGCATACTTTTGGATCCCTGCAAGCTCATTGGTGGGTGAGTGTGAAAATACGGGCGGATTCCTACACGCTCATTGGTGGGCGAGTGTGAACACCCGAATAAATCTAAATGATCTTATTTTAGAACTTTCGCGTTCTTTAGCCACCTGTCTCATGATGTGGTCTCCAGGCTGACGGATCGAGACAATCACAGGAGAAAGCAAGGCATCGCAGTCGGAGACACCGAAAGAGACACATGAGAGATATCGAAAGAAACAGAAGCAAACGCGGCTAACTGTCGAGCGGCACTACCCGAGTACCACAAAAGTCACTACACTCGGCCACCACAAGTCACCACCTGCATCAAGTCACCACAAGTCAACAGCCCAAGTCACCACAAGTCATCACCCCGGTCACAAGTCACCACTCCAGTCACCACAAGTCACCATCCAAGTCATATCATACACTTGGTCCAATTGCAGAATGTCCTTCTGCTATCTATCGAGCGGCACTTCTACTCGCGCACACCTCCCGAGCGGCACTCACTGCGGATGGTCATCTGCCTGTACTCCTCTTCGGTGGGACAGTGGAAGTTGTCCCGCCAGTAGATGTCCATTCCCTGTCCCCGATGCAGGTCCAGCAGCTGCTCGCAGAACACCGTGGTCGCCTGCCGACGTCCGTGACGTCATCCGTGACGTCATCACGCGTCAGCGCGGCACAGTGGGCGGAGCTTTGGGCCTTTCGCCCCGGGCGCATAATTGGGCTCGGTCTGGCGCGGGGAACAGTCAGCGCAACAGTGGGCCAAACAGTCCTCTCCCATTTGCATTGTTTCTAAAGGTGTTTATCCGGGAGACTAGCAACCATATTTCGCTAAGAGAAAAAAAAACACTTTTTTAACGACAGCAATTTCGCAAAGTTTTTGGCTCGGCCGGGAAGTGCGTTTATGGGAGGACAAAGTCACGCAGTGTTTCTTATGGGAGGACAAAGCCACGCAATGTTACTTATGAGACGACAAGGCCACGCAGTATTTCTTATGGGAGGACAAGGCCACGCAATGTTACTTATGGGAGGACAAAGCCACGCACTGTTTCTTATGGGAGGACAAGGCCATGCAGTGTTCCCTATGGGAGGCCAAGGCCACGCAGTGTTCCCTATGGGAGGGCAAGGCCACGCAGTGTTCCCTATGGGAGGGCAAGGCCACGCAGTGTTCCCTATGGGAGGACAAGGCCACGCAATGTTCCTTATGGGAGGGCAAGGTCTTGCAGTGTTCCTTATGGGAGGCCAAGGCCACGCAGTGTTCCTTTGAGAGGACGAGGCCACGCAGCGCTACTTGTGTTCTGTCCACGCTTCGGGTTCCTTTCATCACCGACAAAAAGAGGTTCAACAAGTGCCAGGGATTCAATGGTTCCGGACTTGTGAGGCATGAAAACATACTTCAAGAACAAAACAATTCGCACTCAAAGTTTAACAAATTCCGTCACTTCATGGAAGGACAAATTCTGCAATATAGCACGGGCAGAAAATGATACCTTAAAACAAGCACACTTTCCCTGCATGCAGGTTTGCACCTCTCATTGGCGCACAAGCCAGTCATACCAAATCACCAACACGTGCCAAACCTAACATGATAGATTATCCCAGTCGCAAACCCCCACCCCACCCGTCCCCGTCCCCGCCAAGCGGAGCTAACCTTGGGGTGCCCAAGCGCCTGCGCCCGCTCCAGGCCCATGAAGTAGACGTAGTTGGCGGCGTTGATGGTGCTGGCCATGCCGTAGATGCTGTGGGCCACTGGGATGCCGCGACGCAAGATACTCCGGTCCTCGATGTCGTCAATCCTGAGGAGGCGCAGACAACATGCGTCACCGTCGTCACCATCGTCACTATCGCCATCGTTACCATCATCGCCGCTATCACCAACGTCATTACCGTCGCCATCGTCATCACCATTGTCACTATCGCCATCCTCATCACCATCGCCACTATCGCCATCGTCACTACCGCCATCGTCATCGCCATCGCCACTATCACCATCATCACCGCCGCCATCGTCATCACCACCATTCTCATCGAATAACGGCAACCGAAGCGACATCGCCACCGCCATCATTTTCGTCGTTATTACAATAGCATCGTAAATATTATCATCATTGCCATCGGTATCACCTTCCGGACAAAGCCGGGATTTACCTGACGAGGACAGACAACCTTCAAAACCCTTGCCAGTGTGCTTGGTCGATGAATTGAAAAGCCCACCAGCCACGACAGCTTAGTAGTGTCGCGAGTCTCGACTCATATCACACGCTGGGTTTACAAATACTCAAAACTCACATGACATCAACCAATGACAAAATACGCCAAGCGACAATAAGGCACATAATCCAGTGAACAATATGCAGTTCGAGTCTGTTGCAAAAAGCATAGTAGCGTCAACGAATTTCCTCAAGCGCAGCAGAAAGCAACAAGCATGCGTCTGTCGTGTGAAAGCCTACAACAACCTGTGCCACCCACTGTCTACGACGTCGCTGCTTTCGCACTCGCCCAGATCGACGCACCGGATCAGACAGCGGAGATGGCTCGGCGAGTGGCCTGTGTGGCTCAGTGTAGCTCAGTGTGGCTCAGTGTTAGCGGTGATACGTGCGCGGGCCAAACCCAACTCGTCTGTCACACCACCCAATACGGGAGGCTGCGTCACAAGTGAACACTGGTCTACCCGGGAGCATCATCATCATCATCATCATCATCAGCATCAGCACCATCATCATCCTTCCCTCTTATCCTCTATCTTGCTTCATCCTGCATCCTTGCGACAACCCGCTTGTCCGGGGCAGACTGCATGTGTCAGCCACGAGTGGGCCAAGGGCCACGTGGGTAGGGGGATCATGACCGGGTACTCAGCGCGCATGCGCGGGTAAAAAGCTCGGCGGTTGGCCCCCTTGGCGCATGCAAGTCTACCCCACCGTCAACCATTTCCCTTCATCCCATAGCCCTGAAATGATCATTCCTGGTCGAAAGGGCTCTAATCCAAAAACAAAACAAAAAACAAAACAAAACAAACCAAACCAACCAGCTATCCGAGGGCTCACTCGGCGTTGGCGATGAGGCATCCCGGAAGCGTAGGTTTACGGGGCACGGGGAAGGTGCTGCTGGGAGCGAACTGTGTTTTCCCTGAAAATGGACATCGGACGGAAAACCAGCTCGCTCAGGAGCACAATATGTCGTCAGAACACTCTTTAGAATAAACCGCCCGGACGTGCGTTGACGTCGGCCACAGCTAGCGGCTGGATCTGGCGGCGGTTTGCAGGGCTTAAGGCGGCTGTGGTGACTCACGTACTCCTTGGTTCCCCCTCCTTCTGGACTGCATGTCCAGCTTCTTGATCACCCCCCCCCCCCCCCTCCCCCTCCAACCCAGCCAACGAAGAACAAAGCGTAGTATTGGACAAAGAACAGATTCACCCAGGACAGATCATTTCACTCCAAGCTCGGATCATAGCAGGATCTTTCAAGACTACTCCAGCACAGGGTGACATGGATCCAGCCGGGCGGCACGTCAGCAGTAGCTGTAGTAGCTGTAGTAGCTCCACTGGTGTAACGAGCAGCCCTCTTTTCATGTCCAAGCACGCTGCTACCTCGGCAAGATATTTGGCACCCAGCAAGCGCTGACCAAACAACTTGCTTGCCGCGTGACAGTCGACCAGGCGGACGCATGACCCCAAGGCCGTTGTCACAGTGGTCTTACCAATGATGCCCAGACAAGTCCCCCATCCGCAAGGCTGATTGTCTTGTCTGGAGGTTGCACGCGCACATCTGGGGGCAAGCAGTCCTGTCGGACGACCACCTCATCAACACCACCGTCGACCATGGCTGAGACGTGTCGGCCATTGATGGTGACCGGCGTGTACCGTACCCCCGGCTGAGGAACTTCACTTGACGTCGGATACCCACCCGCCGCGCCGCGCGCCAGCAACGCTTCCTACCCAGCCAGCAGCGGTGACCGCGGCGACAAGGGTGGCAGCATCGAGCTGGGCGGGGGCGGCGACGGCCTGGGCGGCGGCGGCAGCGGGCTGGACGGAGCCGGCAGCGAGATGGGCGGCGGCGGCAGCAAGTTGGGCGGCGGAGGCAGCGTCGGCATCTAGTTGGGCGGTGGCGACGTGGCGGCACAGGCGGTGGTGAGGGCGAGCCGGGAGGGATGGCTCGTTGAAGGTGGAGCAATACGACATTGGAACGCGCTTCTTCACTAGGATGGGGTTACGCATGGCGTCCGCCCGCAAGTACGCGTAGGACATAATCTTGAACATCTCCACGATACTGCCTGGCATCGACGTCTCTGGCAGCCGACAGCTGGCCCGGGGCTTCAGCAAGAACCTTCTTAGCAGTTGCATCGATGTCTTCCAAAGGCTGAAAGTATGACTGCCGGAGTGCTGCCCTTACGTTTCCATCCACGGAGAAGCGAATGAAGCTCACTTTCCTTTCGGTTGACCTTTTCTCCACGTCGGCGAACAGCTTGTCACCATCCAACCAGTTTTCCCAATCCTGGTATGATGAACCGGAAAACTTATCGAGGGAAATACCACACTTATCAGACATTTTGTGTGAGCTTGAGTGACCACCACCAATTTTTTTACGTTTGCACCATATCTCGACATCCAGAGCGGCTAAAACCATCAATCAAACTGCAAAAGATAGATAATTAAATATGGATAGCTCAAAATTCTACGTTTTCTCACTGAGTGCAGCGAAGCAAATGTGCCAACGCTTGTGTCACCCATTCATCTAATTTGATGTTTATTGGGGTTTGCGGGCGCGCCGACTGCGGTGGTCATTTGACGCCCATCTCTCGTCCCTCGGGCCGGCCTCGCAACAGGTCACGCTGCGCTGAGCTCACCCGGCTCCACCAACCACAACGCTGTACGAATTCGCGTGACAGTTGGGTTCCAACCAATCAGAGGCCCGCTCCGCTCCAACTTGCGGGACGTGGCAGCGGCGGGCGTTGGTTGAAAAACCCACAAAACCACATATTAACATCCATCAGTAGCCTGATGATCGTAATTGTGGCGTTCGTGCGCAACTTACAACTCACAATTCTCCGAAACAGGCCGGCCATGGGTTTGGCCAGGCGCGTTTTCGGCGGCGATATCAATGAGTCTGTGGCGATTGCAATTTTCGGCGGCGGTGGCCAAATTTTTACAAAAAAAGCGAAAATATCCTTTGGTGGATATCACAGAACACAGAACAGAACAGAATAGAAAACAGTACACCAGCCTGCCGACTTTCATAGCTGTACTATCTGATCATGCTGATCTCTACAATCTTTTGTTTCATGACTGAATGATCAGCCAGTTTTCGGTCTTGTTCAAAGAGTGAGCGGTTTCGAAAACAGTGCTACTGGCCGACGGCTGCCGTTAGCCGACTGGTGATGTAGGTATGCATCACATGACACTTTGCTGGGTACATGATGAACGCTCGTTTTAAAACGCCGAACACAAAATAAAGAAAGACAAAACACATCCCGCTGCCGAACCCCTTCTCGGGTGATGTTTATGATGGTGCATGCAGCATTTCATGTATTTTAACCCCGCACAGGTCAAAATACATGAAATGCAGGCTCCGCGGGCCCTCAAGCGCGGGCCACGTAGGCACCGGATGTGTGGTGAAGATACGGGGCACGTCAGCATCGGGAGACACGAAACCTGGGACAGCACACGGGTCCGGGAATGGGGCGCGGTGTTTTGGATTTTGGATTTGGAATTTGGATTTTTTTGGATATTTTTGTTTTGGATTTTGGATTTGTGTCGACTATACGCGCATGCGTGGCAGAACGATAAACAAGTCCGCTCTACTAAGTCGCGATTTCGGACCGGATAATCTCCGGTATTGCCCCTGGACCAAAGCGCCGGGGGGACTCCGAGGTGCGACTTCTTGATGGTAAAGAGCCAAGCCAACTAAAGACCCTCCTGTCCACTTGAATGGAAGGTTCAGGTACGTAAATATGTCATTACTACCAATGACAAAAACGCTCATTTACGCAGAACTTGGAGGGATCTCGTGGTTCGCTGGTCAGCCCATGTTGGGCAGCACGTTCCATTTCACTTTAATGACGCACTAGATGAAAGCGCGACAGAAAAGCACGAGTCGGTAGGCATAACTGCCGTTTCTCAACCTAAAAAAGAAAAAAAGGAAGCACACTTCACGTGATTAGCTCGAGCCGCAGCAATTTCAATGGCGTAGTGTGGCATAGCTAACCTGACATGTGCTTTGTGAGTGTTATCATTCTAGATGCGTCTCAGAACAATCACATGATTTGTGCTGAGAAAACAACGCCCAAAAAGGCAAACCACACGACCTCTGCACATCCTGCATGTTTTTGGCTGTACACCAGACCTCTCCTCCTTGCTTGGACATTTACGGTTAATCGAGGAAGTTGAACATTGAATCAATGAAGTCAGCAACTTACAGCAGGCTTGCATTGTGTAGCATCTCCACAATCTGCTCGATCTCCGCCAGCTTATCGGGCGCTATGTTCATCCAGTAGTTGAACGACTGGGCCAGCTTGGTGCGAATCTGCTTCCCCGGCATCTGGCAGATGTACTGGAAGGGCTGCAGCAGCATCTGCCGGAGGGTAGAGGTCAAGGTCAGGAAGGAGCGGGCACACCCCTGGCGCGCTCTTGGGTTCGTACCTTGGCGCACGATTTCAGAGACCGCGCAATCTGCAGTTCGAAGATGCCAGACAACTTCGCGTTATATACGCCATTTTGTTCATAAGTATATAGCGCTTCTGAGGAAACGGGTAACGTATATCACCAGGAGGTCGGGTCTAGCGTCTGCTAGAGCAGGTAATCCGCAAATGAGTCTGGGGCGCGGCTGCGACGGCAGGGGCTACCAGGCTTTGCAGCGAGGTGGAGACATTACATGGGGGGGGGGGGGGGGGGCGGAGAGATATGGAATTCAACTAACCAAAAACAAAGATGACATTTAAATGCGAACATTACTTGGTGGAAAAATTTGTTATGCATGACGAAAGCTGGTGCTTCCGACCATCTGATTAATGTGCTCTGTCTATAACCTACATGACAGGCGAGGCACCTGGCTTCGAAATTGAAATCAATCGATTTTATAGGATGCCTGTGGCGGCTTGTACCATTTGCTAACCGCCAATGAACATAAAGGAATATCAAGTAACAAGCAGTTGAATAACGGAAATGACCAACTATTAGCACGCATTAGCTCGGTTATTTTAGTCAAGATTACTGACAAATCCGCAAAAAATCCCTTTCCCATTCTGACAGAAGTATTACAAAAACGAAAATCGTTAGGGAGCATATCGTAATAAGCAGGGCTACACGCCCGTGAGGCTTCATGGCGTAATCCCGGTGCAGGCCACAGCCCATTTTGCTACACGCTCAGCTTACGACACAACCACAGCATCACATATTCAAATTCGGTTGGGAAAAGGTGACTCTGGAGGCTTCCGGGCCGACTGCTGACGAACAAACGGTCCCGAACGCCCTTGAGATCCGTTCACGAGCTGTAGCCCGTACCATCGCCAACACCACGCGGCTCGCTTCACGTCTACCTTCTTCCGCTGCTGAGATTTGGCATAGATTCCAAGAAGCGCCCAGTGCGGTGGGGCTGGGGATTTGGGCACCAGAGCGTGTGACCGTCTGCACAAGCCTGCCCATGTTTTTAAAGACGCGATTTTCCGTTTTAGCTCCGCCAGAATGTTGGTCTCATTACGCTGCGACGTCGGGTCGTCGAGATCTAGATCTGTATCTGGATCTGGATCTGGGCCCCACTCCGTTCTGTATCCTCCAGCTGCTTCGCAAGTGGGAACTCTCCCTTTTCGCGTGCTAATCCAGGGAGGACGTGAACTCGTGCTGCCATTGCCATACCGCGGGGAAGTTCCTCCGAGCCGACAGCTCACTCGGAAATCTCGAACAATTTATGCAGGACATCTTTCAAAAATTGGGTGAAATTTGGGTGGAATTTTGGGTGCCGATCGTGCAGTGGTCAATGCATCTGCGTTAACCAGTGCGCGTTCAGGGAACCAGAGGGACGGGATTCCATTTCTCCGAGGCCTGCCATTCCCACCATGGTGAGAGGTAGGCGCCGCCGTATAGCCTCGGCAGCTGAGTGCGTCATAAAGCCCCCATGTTAACCGTTTGAGCCTGGATTAGTTATGGGAAAGATATCAGCCTCTATAAGGTGTAGCAGCAAGCACGGGCAGTGCGCCCACAACGATATCTTTCGCAGTGCAAGGAGGGCCCACTCCTTTCCCAGCAGCCTCACTCGTGATAATCAGTAACAATAGTAACAACTGCCAAGCACATCTTACAGTACTTCATTGCTCAGGGCAATGACATTCACAACATCGTCGAAACCGAATGGCAGAAAGTTTCGGTACCTGGAAACAAATAGATAACACTAAAATGATCACATTCTATCTTCAGATTCTATGTGCTACACCTGACAGAATTAGTACCGACCTTATCCTGAGCAGGATCTCCAGACATGCTGAGGTACTCAACAGATGGGCCATCTTTACAGTCTCCAGCAGAATCTCTTGAGTTCTCCATCACTTTAGTAGTCACTTTTTGATGCAATGGATGACCTGCAGGGCAATACAGCTGGATTAATGCTCACTAACAAGGCTGCACTTGATGAAGAGGCAATGGTGTGTGATCTCCAATGAATACTTCACTAATATCTTCACAAAATGCCTATTTGCTTGAATCCATTATGCCTATTTGCTTGAGTTTGTTTGTATGTACATGTGTGTCTGTGTGCTCTAATGCTGAGATAGGCACCGCATCACAGAGATAGGCACCGTAATTGCTGGCAAATTGCTCTTTGTTTAATCCCCTGAATGTTGGTGTCCTGAAAAATTGTGGCTTGCTGTTTTAAAAAAAGCTTTAAAATTGATTAGTACCATTGGCATGTGATTTGGAACTTGCCTCTGCTATTGTTTTGATAAAGACATGTTACTGAAATATCAACCCATCTATATCTCCAGTCTCCTGGGTTTTCTCTTGAGGAATAAGGCTACCACCACTATCTTATCTAAGATGTCTGCCTGGTCTTTGTCATGGCCTATTTTGGTTATTTCAGCTACATTTTTATGTGGTATTGTTTTTGGTATCATGGTTTGGATTGCACAACAGGGTCACACATGATGCTCTGCTAGCTATGGAAGAATGCAGTATACTTGCCATGCACTCTTAGCTTTATTGTTTTTATGTATGCATCTTGCCAGATTTTGGCACCTCTATTTAAAGACAAAATTATTGCAATGTTCAACCCCACAAAACATGCCTACCCATGTGAGAAATGATGCCATGAAGGGACAGCACAACACACAGATTGTGTCTGATGCTATTATTGCACCTTTGCAACAGCACACCTTCTTTTAATAGACATTGGCATGCATATGGCATTTTGAGGATGAAAATGTTCCACAAAAGGGACTTAAGCCTTTTGAAGCTGATTCTGGCCATGCATCATCATCTAACAGATGTGTATAATGTGGACCCCAGGTGTTTTTAATTTTGAAGGCCAACATGGTGAAAAGATAATTATCTCCATATCTATTTTTGGGGTTCATGCTCATGTTTGCACATGCATGGATTTCAGATTACACATTTTCTTATCAGTATGACATTTTTTCTTGTGAGACAGCTTGACTCTATTTCAATTAATCCATACTGGACTATCTCTACAAAGTTTTCATTTGAAGATGAACCACATTTAACAGTGATACCATAAAAGCATACTAACACTGACACTACCTAAAATAATTGTGCTGTATCACAGCACACTAAATAACATCTCATAAAAACAACACTATTTCCCTGTTGCTTGTTAAATTAAAAAAGCTGTTTTATGGTTAACAGCAGCCAAGTTTGCATTTTATCCATACATAAAATTCTAGCACCCATTCAGCAAGGCTCAATTTTTTTATCAATATGGCATGTACTGCTCATATACTTAGGATCAGAGTGGTATGGGGGATACCAAGGCTGTCCCCCTAACTCAGGATATCCATCTTTGCTGAGGCGCATGTGCATGTGTGTGTTTCTATATGAGACCAATCACCATGACCTCATACATACAAGCAAATCAAATTTGACTTTTTCTTTGGTTCTATAATGGTAAGTTTTACGGGGGCTCCGCTCTCCCCTACTCAGAAAATCATGCTTACAGCTCCAAAATCGAAGACTGTAAAGTTCCTGTGACAGCTAGTTCAAAAGAAAAAAAACGCTGGATATGTCACGTGGGCTTCTATTGTGACAGAAAGAGCACCAACGATCGTAGACGCCCAATTTCTTATCAATACGCCACAAATATATGCACACAAAATCGCAAACGCCCCACCCCTACCAACCCCCGCTAACCACGGGCTTCCACGTTCGTCACTACTGCGGTACAACCCCACCGAAACCGATCAGCTGAGTGGCGGTTTTGCTCTCTTACCTTTGCTCGCAAATGGAGCCACAAGAGCTCTTACTTAATAGCAGTTCAAATGCTCTTTTAATATTTTGACATACCAAAAATATTTTAACCCGTTGAATAGCCTTGAAAGGATTTAAAATCTTGCTTTCATTTTACAATTTGCACTAAGACAGCAAAATCCACCCAATCACAAATACTTCCATATCAACAGGGCGGGAAATTTCGAAGCAGAAGCAGCAGAAGTAACGGGAGTCGGTTGGGGACGTGGACGGAAAACAGGGTACGCGTCAAGCAGTTGAAGCGGGAGGGGTTCAGTTGAAGCGCAGAAGCTAGAGCTGTCGAGGGCCTGACGGTGAAAAAGGACACGAGTTTATCATTGGTTAACCTGTTGTAAGCCTAATCTACGGCCCTCGTACTGACGAAGATCTGGGTCTTCCATTAGCAAGTTTTCTCCGGTGTAGAATTTTACGCAGATTGCGCTTTACGTTGATGGTTGTTGTATTCACATTTTCTTTCTGAGTTCATTGTTCGCAGTTTTCTTGTTCGGTTGTGTTGAATTTAGATAGTGTTCTGCTGTTCTTACAATGGCGGAAGAAAACTTTAGTTCTATTCGATGTTTCTTCGAGGAGGTTGACTGGGTCCATCTCAGTGACTACGAAAAGCAAGTTTTTTATGAAAAGAAAATCCAACTTCGAAATGCTGCAGGAGCTTGGTGAGCAATGAACCCGAGGATGTGCTTCAAGTTAACGGATCATAATTCTTTTTGACTTTGTGTTGTTATGTTGGGGAGGGTAGGGAGGGTTCTAGTTTTGGTAGATGCACTGTATAAGAGATGACTGTATACGAGAACCCTTACGTGTATGTGGGGAGGGGGGGGGGGGAGGGCAACACTGGGTCTGCGTTTAGGGATCTAGCTGCGGGTTTGGGGGAGGAGGGCAAAGCCACCGGGCCAAATCACACACTCACTCCAATTTCCATTTTGTCTTTGAATCAGGCCACAGTGGCCCCCACCATCCCCCTGCCAAATGGTGCTTCTTTGTTTAAAGCTAAGATTTCCTGTGGACATGCTATTAGTGCGCGAAAAATTTTGGCCCCGGTTTGGCGCCATACCACATTTTCAAGTAATTTTTTGTCTAGGATCAGTGAGTTGCACCGGCCGGCGCTCAATGGGACTTTGGCCAAAAACGTGCTGCTTTCATTGGATACCTAAAAATGCGCTGTCATTAATCTCGACCTTTGAATGGATGGATTTCTAAGATCAAAGTTCACGCTAAGCAGTGTTTGTTGTATGAGCCCAGATCTAGCCCAGCCCTGCCATCCGATTGCGCGATTCCAGGACAACGGCGGAATTTGATAGCGAAAGCTTAACATGCCGTAATGCTCGTCGCTGTCCGTCCTGCACTCCAACGTCAAGTGACCTTTATCGCGGCCGCTGCCACCGACCTCAGGCCACACCTTTTTTCCATACCATTCCCCACACCTTTTTCAATTTAAAATCCCATACTAACGTGGGCACTTCCTTTAAGCGGAAATACTGCTCTAGACAACGCAGTTTCGTTATTTAATGAGTATGCTCCTCAATGCGTCATTATTTGATTGCGTCACGGAGCGTTTGTATGACGTTGAGCGGTTGCCAAACCAGTCGTGCAAAATTGCCATCCCTGCACCCACTTGCAGTACTTCAAGCTCGCCGGGAGATGGCAGTGGCGACCTTAGGACATGAACTAAATGTATTAGACTACGCAAGAGCCGATGGTAGGATCATTCAAAGTCAAATCTTGGGAATATTCTGAAGTGATGTCAATCAGTCGTCTAGAATCCTAGCGTCCTTCACCGTCTAACAAAATCTTACTTACGTGAGGATTCCGTCACGCATCATACGTTATCCCCGTACAAAGGCTCACCACCCCGCTGTTACACCTTTGCTTTAGTGTATGTGTTGGCGAATCGGCAGGGGCTCATATCACTTGCACCGAGTGCATTTGATAGTGTACTTCCTACGCACACACAGCATGACAAGAGCTCACGTTACTCCCGATCCAGGCATCGCCGGCCAGCCGCCACAGTTCATGCGGCCGCGGCCGGCACGCCAGAGACGCGGGCCGGACCCGGCCAAGGCGGCC